ATAAAATATATAAAATATAGTTTAAATTAATATCATTTATCATAGATTGATAAGATGATTTCATATTTTTGATATCGAAAAAAAATATAAAAGATGGAATTTTAAAAATTTAAATTTTATCAGTAAAAAATTATAAAAAAATAAAATAATATTAAAAGAGTCAGAATCGAATTTTTAAAAAATGGAATTGTTTGAAAATATGTACAATTAAATTTATTATAATAGTGTGCATATGATGATTTATATATTTTTTAAAGTTTTTTTATATTTTACTTTACTAAAAACTTAAAAAATAAAAAATCGTATAAAAAAGTTTTTTTAATTCATAAATAAATTTAAAAAGTTGATGACAACTTTTGGATAGGTACTTGATAAGAAGGCCAAGTGGTATTGAATTTGCATGCTTATCTGGATGAAGGTCGCGAAACCCCGAACGATCTGTGGCTTTAAAATAGCGATACTACGTAATGATCACATGAATAGAGTTCAGTTTTAGAATAGTACACGCTGAATGAACTTTGTCTACTATAATTATCTATCAATTCTGAAATGCTTCTTATTAAAATTAGTAAACCAGTAATAAAAATTATAGCTACTATATTATAAAAATAATTATAAATATTAAATTGTATAATTATAAATATCAATTGTATAAATAGAATTAGTTAATTTAATTTAATATAATAAATACTATAAAAGTAACTTATGTTGTATAAATTTTCATGGGAAATAATTTAAAATTTAAAAGAAGAAACGAGATATTGTCGACGATGCTTACCATAAGGTTAGCGGCATCAATGAAATGGCGCGGTATCTCATTGAACCACTTGGCTGACTCAGCCAATTGCGAGTATACTAAGTTCAGAGTGCATTTTTCATAAGTGTTTTTTATGACTTTACAGATTTAAATTTACGTGATTATATCTTGAAAACAAATATACATGAAAAATAACATAAATAAAATAATACCATTCAATTTATTTTATCGGTCATTTGAGAATAAATTTAAATGATAAAATAATTTAGTAAAATAGATATTTTTTGAAATATAATATTCTTCTTATATAAATGAAACTTATATGATCGTGCAGATATAATTTCTTTTTTATTTCTATATGAATGCAAGAATAAAAATTTATTGATTGAAAATAAATTATAAATAAAAATTTATTGAATATAGTATATAAGTATGATAAAATCGATTTGTATAATTTTGTGAAAAGGAAATTTAATTATAATTTGAAAATTAGGTAACAGATGACGCTGATTGTTCCATATTACGTAAATTTCATTTTAGTAAAATAATATAAAAAAAATTAAATTTAAATGAAATATACTTTTTATTGCTATATTGAATTTATTTTGTTATATTTTTATAAATAAAAAAAAATAAAACACATATTGACTTGTAAATTCAGAATTTAATAGTTGATATAATCTCTAAAATAATTTCATTTAAAAAACTAATAGTGTAATTATATATGCATATAAAGTATAATTTTTATGCTTTATTTATCATTAATTGTGTTATTTATTATTTTTATAAAAGCTTGGAATGTTAAAAATAGATAAAAAAAAAAACAATTTGAATATGTTTTTTTTGATCAAAGAATGAAGTAAGGAAAGAAGAATGCAGAAAAACTAACAGTGGTAGCAATCTGATGATAAACTAACCCGATGGTAAGATGATCTGAGTGCCCTCGAAGTGGCCGATGAAAAGCAATTTGTTCATTTAGTGCCGAGAGTACATGACCCTATGAGCAAATAAGATCCACTTTTATATCAAGTGTAATCCTTCTTTACTGCACTCTTAAATTTATACTTTTTAAAAATGAATATTTATCAATTTTATAACATCAATCAAATTATTATATTTCTTCGAAAACATATATGAATTATATAAAATAGATCGTATTAAAGATTGTAAAAATCATAATTATCATGATATGAAAAATAATTAAATCATTTTAATCATCATTTATTCTGATAATTGAACAAAACATAATGAATTTTATTTTAAAATTTATTAATGAGTTTTTGATTACAATTATTTTATAATTGTAAGAAAAATGAACAAATAGGTTAGTTACAAATCTCGGTCGGTCAAGTGGCACGCATAACTGAAATATAACCTACCGAAAAGATTAAGTATTTGTTGACTAAACAAAAACTACGATTAAGTAGATTACCTCTTATGTTGTATAATAAGTGTATATCGCGTGAAATAACCGCGGCAAAACGAAGAGTGATGCGTTTCCACGTGATGAGACAACGGGTAGGCAGAGACAGGACAAGCGAACGAGAATACGCGCGTAGAGAGTAACGTATATATATACATACACGGTGGACACGTGCACTCCGTTTGATCAGAGTCACAGTCACGGTCACGCTTCGAGGGTTGGACGAGCCTATATAGAACACCACGGTGGGAGACCCGGTGTACAACGTATAACCATGCAGTTAGAGAGACGAGGAGAGAAACAAAAGCGGTGGCGCGAGTAACCACTCATTGATTCCCCTACCAACGGCGCGGTCATCTCTTTTGCACCATTTTGCTTCACTTTATTGCCATTATTTTATCTCTTTTCCTAACGTCTCTTTTCTGCCTGACATCTCATTAACTCTCTTCCTCTTCAAATAATGGTTATCTCGTTCGTTTTTTATCTGTCTCTGTCGCTCTCTCACGTTTATACGATATATGACGCTTTCCGCTCGTCGCTTCTACAACGGTATTACGCGATTCAGTTGATTTCGAAACGGTGCATCGAGAGCGCGGAATTTCTCTCGTATATATAATCGGTTTCCTACAAACTCGTCCCCTTTTCCATTTACAAGTGAAACGCTTTCAATGTAGAAAGTTCTCGACGATTCTGCTTCGAGTATTCTTTTTTTCGTTTTTTTTTTTTTTTTTTTTTTTTT